GGTCCCCCCCAGCCCGGGGCCGGATCCCGCGTCCCCTGCATCGGCAGGTGGACTCCCAACCACTGAGCCACCAGGGAAGCGCGGTACCTCCTTTCTGACAGGCGCACTGCCAGGATGGAGACGGTTACAGCATACATCACTCTGTTAGAGGCTGGCTCAGCTGCTCAACCTTCACAACACTGAGGCATCCTGCCACTGACATCCAAAGATGGCACGAGTCACTCACCTCAAAAGAGCAAGACTTTGATGGCCGTTGTAACACCACACTGCCAGTATGGCAGCCACTGCCACACGTCACTACTGGGCACTTGAAACGTGGCTCCTCCAAACTGAGATGTGCTGTAAACGTAAAATACACACTGGACTTGAAGTCAAATTTCTCGCACATATTTTATATTGATTGGACATGAAAGTGAGAATATTTTGGTCTATGAGGTTAAATATAATACATATTATTAAAATTAATTGCACCTGTTTCATTTCATGTCTTTTAATGTGGCGGCTAGAAAATCTGAAATTGCACGTGTGGCTCCCACATTGTCTTCCCCTCAGATGGGTCTGTGCTAATTCCCTGCCTGGCCAGCCTCTGGGTCGTGGGGGATTTGCTCTGGATTAGCAGTGTCCACTGTGAGGCAGTGGGCCAGGAGGAAGAGGCAGCTTGTCCAGAGAGCTGAACTCCTGGCCTCAGTCTTACTGTTACTGGAATCTTTACATATCAGCAAGAACTCAATCTATAGCCTTTCTTGCCTTTTGTCCTTGAAACCTCTGCTGTCAATCTTCAGGCTTTCCACATGGTATCATTTAAAATGGGCATTCCCAAAGATATGTCTAATCCTAGGACCAATGACATAACTGGTTCTTATGGGTTCAACTGTGTCCCTCCAAAAAATATATGGTCAAGTCCTAACGGCCAGTACTTATGCACGTGACCTTATTTGGAAACGGGGTCTTTGCAGATGTGATCACTTACAGTGAGGCCATGCTGGATTAGAGTGGACCTTAAATCCAATGCCTGGTGTCCTTGTAAGAAGAGGAGTTGCCAAGTAAAGACAGAGACACACAGGAGAGGACTCCATGAGACAGAGACTGAAGTGACGCAAACAAGGGACTCCAAGTATTGGCGGCCACCGTCAGAAGCTGGACGAAGCAATGAAGGATTCTCTCCAGCGTCTCAGAGGGAGCGTGGCCCTGTCAACGCCTTGATTTTAGACTCTGGCCTCCAGAACTGTGAGAGGATGATTTTCTGTTGTTTTAAGCCACCCAGTTTGTGGTATTTTGTGACAGCAGCCCTAGGAAATGAACATATTGTCGGGAGAGGGACTTCTGTGCAGAGCGAACGCGCTCTCCCATCTAATGAAGAGAGTTCTTTTTGCAGATTCATAACCAAATAACGGTTTTTTGGAAAAGTACATATTTTATTAGCAATTGTAAAACTTAACATCTAAAACAAAACATAAAGAATGCATGATGTACAGTTCATTTATAAAAACACAATCTAGTGACCGAAAGTTCACCAGTGGTTACCTGGGGCCAGGCGTGGACCACATGGTGATGGACCGCCGAGGGCACCAGGAAACTCTGGGGGCTAACGGAAATGTTCTGCACTTGGAATCGGTGGCCAGTTCATGGGTCTGTAAGTGTTTCAAACTTCTTCAAATGGAGGCAATTCCTTGTGTGTGTCACTCAAGTTGACAGAAAACAATTAAAATATGGCATTATAATAAACCTAGATATTATTCCACAAATTTTAAGCCAATGGAATAATCTTTATCCAGATTTGGCATCAGCAAAATTGAAGTCACACCACTTCCACTGCTCAGCTGCTCAAACTGGGTTCCAGGCCAAGTTGTCATGCCCACAATGTATAATAGATTTTATCATTTTTAATTTAAGGAAATATTTTTGTGCTGCAGACACAGTAAAAGGAATTAAAAGACTAATGTTAACAAAAAACACATTTTTAACAATTGCATTCAGGTCAGAGTTTCATTTTTAGCATATTTATGGTTATCTTTTTTTTTCACCCTTTAAATATTTCACAGGACGCATTAAATGATTCCTGTAGGTCACTTAACATTTCTTTTACACTTTCTAAGCATTTTTCCACATTTGATTTTCAGCCATTTGAAATAGCAGGTGGAAATAAGCAATGCAAACAAACCATCAAATGTAGGCGTCTTTAAGATCTTGGCTAGATAGGTCATATCTCTTTAAGATACACCATGGAAAAGAATGAACCACAAACACTTCACCCAAAAAAAACTGCTAAAAATCAGAGGCTAATCGTAAATGTTCTTGGCATAGCAATAGATTAAGCAAATGATGTGAAAATATTTTAAATATCATCGGAACTTGATAAAAATTCAATGACCCAAGAGAGTTTCAATTTTCTTGTACCTTGAGACTATGGCATCATCCATCATTAACGTAAAAGCCCAGAAAGATTGTGCATCCTTTTGGCTAAAAAGTGACCACATACACAAAAGAGTTACCAGGTAGTGGGCGTGCCTTTGTTGTTGCCAAAAGAATTCTGACCCCTTTCAGACAAAAGAAAAGCTGTCAAAGATGGAAGCATTCTCAAGGGGTTCCACGAGGGCCTGGGGGCTAACTAACCATCGATCCATATACATCACCATAATCCAGGAATTCCGGTGAGCACGGAGTTAGAAATACTGTAAAGAGATTCTTTGAAAAAAACAGAAAACATCTGGACAAAAAGGGTACATTTGGTGACCATCAAGATCAATAATGATATTCTGTACATGCTTCTCTTTGTTTCTTCTTCCACACCCCACCCCTTCATCTTGCAACTAGAGACTGGGAGAAAGCGGGACTTAATTATTACTTGGCAATTGATAGAATGATGGTTTGCCCCATAAATTGTCAGAATTACAGATGATGCATGTCAACAT